GCACATGGCCCCTCGCCGCCATGTTGGGGGAAACTGGGATTTGCTCTCTGCGCATGCGCGGACCCATCCAGCCCCGGATCGTTAAAGAGCCGAAGAGCTGCCGATAGAATCCGAAACACCGCGTCCCTTAAACCCGAGTCCGTGGTTTCTTGAATGTTGTGTCTAGTTGGAAGCCTGTAAACAAGACGGCACAGACTGCAATACATCGTTATTTCCGTAAATAAAATCATGATGCAATACACTGTGTCCATAATTATCCCTGCTTTTACACTAGTGTTTTTGTTTAGCTAAACTACTAAACTGTCAGATCACGTAATAATTAGGTATATGCGATTATTATTATTATTATTATTATTATTATTATTATTAATAATAATAATAATAATAAGACTACCTGCATGGTACCTACTCAGTGAATGAACGTTATGATTATGAGTGATCTCGGAGGTTCAGTAGACTGATGTCTTCACACTGAGATGTGAAGAGGTGCTGTGAAATTTATGAGAAATGGTACAAATAGTAAGTACCAATGTTGCCACTTGATAGACACATGACTGTATTTTTGATTACACCGAATTTATATACCAATAGCCATAACATGTGAACCACCTGCTTAATATTGTGTACGTCCCCCTTGTGCTGCTATAACAGCTCTGACCCATCAAAGCATGGACTCCACATGACCTCTGATGGTCTCCTGTGGTATCTGGCACCAAGATGTTACCAGAAGTCCTGTAAGTTGTGAGGTGGAGCCTCCCTGGATCAGACTTGATTGTCCAGAACATCCCACAGATGGTCGATTGGATTGACATCTGGGGAATTTGAAGGCCAAGTCATCATCTTAAACTCTTTCATGGTCCTCAAACCATTCCTGAACAATTTTTTTCGGTGTCGCCGGGAAACTGAAAGTCGCAGAGCAGGGTTTCCCAGCCACTGGGCCACAGCCCACTGATGGGCCGCAAACACCATCACATGGGCCATGAATCTAAAATGGGGAGAGGCCATTGGTCTGGAAAGGGCCGCCATGTGGTTTGATTTTTAAATGTGCGTTGAGCAGTAGAAACATGTTCTGTTAAGTGACAAATCACACTTCTCTGTCTGGCAGTCTGATGGACGAGTCTGGGTTTGGCGATTGCCGGGAGAATGTTACCCGCCTGACTGCATTGTGCTAAGTGTAAAGTTTGTTGGAGGGGGGATTACAGTGTGGGGTTGTTTTTCAGGGGTTGGGCTTAGCTTTTTAGTTCCAATGAAAGGAACTCTTAATGCTGCAGCATATAATGTCATTTTGAACAATTCCATATTTCCAGATTTGTGGGAACAGTTTGGGGAAGGCCCTTTTCAGTTCCAACATGACTGCGCACCAGTGCACAAAGGAAGGTTGATAAAGACATGGTTGTGTGAGTTTGGTGCGGAAGAACTTGACTGGCCCGCACAGAGCCCTGACTTCAACCCCATCGAATCCCTTTAGGATGAACTAGAGTTAAGATTGTGAGTCAGACTTTCGCATCACTGCCTCACAAATTCTCTTCTGGGTGAATGGGCAAGACTTCCCACAGACACATTCCAACATCCACTGGAAAGCCTTCCCAGAAGAGTGACAGCTTTTACAGCTGCAAAGGGGGGACGAAATCCATATTGATGCCTATGGATTTAGAATGGGATGTCATGTGAGTGCGATGGCCATGTGTCACAATACTTTTGTCCATGTATTGTATGAAAGTAACATCCACATGAATGCCAGAACCCAAGGTTTCCCAGCAGAACATTGCCCAGAGCATCACACTGCCTCCACTGGCTTGTACTTGGTGCCATCTCTCCCCCAGGTAAATGACACACACACACACCTGGTCCTCCAAACGACGTAACCAAAAACGTGACTCATCAAACCAGGCCACCTTCTTCCTTTGCTCCATGGTCCAGTTCTGATGCTCATGTGCCCATTGTAGGTGCTTTCAGGTGTGGATATTGGTCAGCATGGGCCTAGACACTGGTTTGCGGCTACACAGCCCCATACACACCATCATAGCCAACATTGACTATTTCTACAATTAGCTCTACAGTAGCTCTCCTATGGGATCGGACCAGACGGGCTAGCCTTTGTTCCCCATCTGCATCAGTGAGCCTTGGGTGCCCATGAACCTGTTGCTAGTTCATCAGTTGTCCTTCCTTGGACCACCTTTGCAGGGGCGGATCTAGGATTTTTGGAAAGGGGGGGCGCAACCACTAGAGCGAGTGCTGTAGGCGCGAATCTCTAGGCAACAAAAATTGTTGTTCATGGAAAAATAGGGGGGGGCGTGCGGCAGGTGCACCCCCTCTGAATCCGCGCCTGCTTTGGCAGGTACTAACCTCACAAGTCCTGCTATTTTGTAAATGCCTTTACCAAGTCATTTAGCCATCATAGTTTGGCCCTTGTCAAAGTCACTCAGATCCTAATGTTTGCCCATTTTTTCTGCTTCCAACACATCAACTTCAAGAACTGACTTTTCCTTTGCCTAATATATAATGGCACCTTTGACAGGTGCCATTGTAACAAGAAAATCAATGTTATTCGCTACACCTGTCAGTGGTCGGCCGATCGGTGTGTATATAAGTGGTTTTTCGAGCTGCTTAAGTTGCTAGTCAGTTAATTAAATCATAATTCCAAGGAAGAAATGATCTCAGGAGACCAGTTTTTCTATGTATAGAACAGAAATAACAATAAATAGGAATTATTTTGAAAATATTTACGTTTATTCAATTCTTCATTTTGATGTTTCGTCAATCTTGATGTTAATCGTTAAATAAATGCTGTGCTATCTATTGGTTCTGAACTGTTCATGATTAAGGAAAACTTCTCATGTTACACTGACAAACTGGGTGTGCAATTACTACCCCCACTGGTTAATATTTAAAAATTAAGTTCAATTGAAATGATATTGTAAAGATATATTTGAAAATGTGGCTTGTGTTAGTCATATCAATTTGTAATGATAATTTATTGTGAATGTATTTACATTTCTTAATAAATGTATTTATCCGGATGAATAACTGATTAGGGGCTCCCACTTTCCGCCCTCTGGGAGAAAAGCCTAGAGTCGCTTTTGGTGACAGATATGAAAATGCACGACGATGCTGTTATATCTGTAAGTCTTCTCTGATTCATCTGCGGATCCCACCTAATGTCGCATTTGCAGCGTCCTAAACACCAAGGCAGTTAAGCTGTTGAAAATAAACATTTACTGGATGGTGGGAGGAAATCAATTGCCTTTCATTTAACCCCCCCCAACACACACAAACACACACACACACACCGGTTTGTAATTATATCTTTGTGGGGACTCTCCATTCATTTCTATGGGGAAAACTCTAATCCCAGCATGACGACCTTAAACTCTACCCAACCCTAACCTTAACCATAAATATAAGTAACCAACTGATTTTTATTACATTGTGGGGGGCATTGGGTCCCCACAATGTAATATAATATAATCCCCATACACACACACACACACACACGCACACACACACACACACATACACTAATGCAAGATACCATCAACGTGAGTTGTTTACAAAGGAGCTGAGAAGGGGAAAAAAAATCACTTTTATGTGTGGTTTATGGTTTAGCTACTGTCTACTGTCTATTACCATGATGATAAAACTATTATCAGGCTGAGGGTGGTGAATATCGCATAAAACCCAAGGAACTGGAAGTGATGATGTGAGGGTATAAGAGTTGAAAAATACATTCTTCCAATGGTGGCCATGGTAACCAACCTTTACAATTATCCTAGGAAGAGTCATTTGTGGTAGATCTTTTCTGAAAATGGCCTGCCAGACCATACGTTTCATGCAAAGAATGGCAGGCAGATGAATGACTGCGGGACACGTGGTTGACACAATTGTAATGGACAGGGAGATAAGTGGTAATTGGGGACCGTGTCATATGAAAGATACAAATACAATGGATGTCCCCGTCTGTTGGCCAGAGAGCAAATCCAGCGTGTGCCTTATCAGAGCCTGGGGGACATTGGCTAAGGTTCTGCGACTGAGCTGTGGGTGTTAGTTAGAGGAAATTACTGAAATTAACGATGTAATGAATCGTACTCCCGAGTGCCATGCAGCAGTCCTACCTAATCCTAAAAAAAAAAAAAGGTAATCCGTACCTCATACCCCCTGTGCATCTGCCAGGTGTTGTGGAAGTCCTTATTTTTTCCACTACCGAACAAGCTGATCTGTTGGCGAGTGACAGAGCCCACTTAAGCGGTTCAAAATCCCATCATTAGCCAGTTGAAATACCACTGGAGTTTCCCAGATCAGGAGGATGGCACCTGTCTTGGGCACAGAGACCAGTCAGCACCTTAATCGAAGCAGGTAGACGCGCCAGAGACACGCAATATCAGCACCTTAATGCCTGTCGCGGGAAGCGAAATCCCCATCAGTACGCGAGTGAGACTCGCAAGTGAGCTCTAATGATACGATATATCTTGTACGGCCCTAGTTTTCTCATTTCCATTAATTACCGTGGCCTGATGACAGAGCAAACAAGCCATCCGTGCAGCGAAAATAATGTACGCTTTCTTTAACGCAGTAGTCCGTATCTGTTTCGATGCGTGAGAAGAATAAATCAGGAACAGGAGAAATTTGTATTTTACTTGACTGAACGGAATAGAAATATTTAAGGCGATTCTGACCTAAGAATACAAAGCAAATAAACGATTTGCTTTGTGCACTGAAACGTACAAACTGATATGCAGAATGGGTATTTCTACAGGCACTCATAAGCTGATCTGAGACAGCGAGTGATGCTTTGCTTTGGTGGTGTGGTACAGACTTGCAAAGACTTATTATTCACCAGTGCCGCAGATGTTTGCCTTCCGTATCCTGGGATAGCAGATGGCCGCTGAAGGCGTCGTCATTATCTTGCCCCACCACAGACAAAGGCAAATAACACACCGCTGCTGGAAGCATCATATCTCAGTTTTTTTTTTCTGTCGATAGCCCAACAGAGTCTTGTTTATAGCTCTTTGACCCAGTAAAGTACTCTGAAAGTTTATCCTTGCCAAAGGTTGTTGTGAGAGGAGCTTTCCAGGGGTGGGGGCCAACGCTATTTGAGAAGGCACTGAATATATTACCGAGAACTAGGGCGAAAAACCCACGGAGAAATGTAGATCGTGTGATATTTGTGGGTTATTCCACTTACATTGCCTGAAGTGAATGAATATTCAACCAAAAGCAATTTTAGTCTAGACTATGAATCTGTAACAACTTTAATTTCCATTATGGGCTGAATTTCATTTCGACTGCGGAGATGAAAAGGTCATGATCCAATACGGTGCCGTCATTCAGAAGACTTGCAAGGATGCGGTGGGAGGGGTTTATCTCTAATATGTTCCTCGGTCCATCGCAAAGCTGATCAGACGCAGAATCGCCGAGCCGGCTTTCCTTCTCCGACGGTGAGATAAACAAAATGTATCGTTTACTACGGCACTTCAACATCTGCGACGAAAAGACTGCAAAGGTAGGCAGATTTAACAAAAATGGATCGATCATATAGCTCCGACCACTCATATAGCCTACTTGCTGGTCTATATTTTTCTTACAAACAAATGTTAAAACGGCGTTATTGTTTTTAAAGCAAGGCATATATAGTGATGGCTGTATATGGACTATATACTGTATGTGTGAATGTCAAAGTGTGATTTTAGTACTGCAAATGTTAACACAGTGTTCTTTAAAATAATTAAACAAATTAACAAAATTTAAAAGTGTGTGTACTGCATAGTTGCAGGGGTGTGGTTTTGATTTTGAACCAAAAGAAAAGGGCAAATGAATACGGATTAATTCCATGCTAGGACGATGACTGCCGACGTCTGGAAGAAGCACAGGCTGTTACTGAAGGTAAAGTCGCACAGCGGTGGCGCACGTTACGTTACCGACGCTCTCCGCGCGGCAGCCGCATTATTCACATTAATGTCTGTTCGTAGCCGAAGGGACATAAAACAACGGTAGGCGATCGTTTGCAGTCTCCTAAACGGCCGGTGTTGTTGACTGTGTTAAAGACTGTAATGTGAATTTCCAGCTGTTTTATGCATGTTCTCGCTCGATAACGTCTCTGGGGAGAGCTGCACCGATGCGCTGTGCTTATGAGATGCGGATTTACACAAGCAGTAATATAGGGGAGCCTTTATTAAAGAATAGATCTTAAATGGGACCGACGAGGCACCGAATCCCTCCCATGCGGCAGCTGCGCCCGCAGCATTTTTCCGCAGGACGATAAATAATTCAGAAGAGGTTTGATGCCCGAACGTATTTCTTTTTCAGTAATATACATCGTTTTTTCACTACCAGGAGTCAGTTTATCTCATTCTATGGACACCAGACGACTGTTTGAAAAAATTGGATTTTCGTGTCCCTGTGAGTATACCTGGTCGATTTAACCCTGCGTGAGAGGGCACAGGAGAGAGGCGAGTGCTGTGATCCACATTACTATTAACTGATCTTCCTGTTAAAATCCCGCCCGCACAGGTACGATCACGTACGGCTTCCCCTAGCTGTAATACAAACTGCTATTCTTGCATCGGGAAATGTTGGTAATAGGCCACCAGGTTGGAGTTTAGTTGGCTGATAGGTAGCTGCCACTTCATCAGGGTAATCATTGAAAACAGCAGTACACAGACTGCTTAATGATGACCGGCGTTTTCTCTTGTGTTCTCACTTTCTCCTGGATGAATGACCAAAGTAAAGGCTTCTCACCTGGCTCCACTGTCATCCCACGCATCTGCGTCACCCCCCCCCCCCAAGTCATGATGGACTCTGCCTAACAGCTACACTGCCTGCGGCAAAAAGCCATTTTTTTCAGGATGCCCTGACTAGGACAGCGGGTCAGCGGAGCTTATTGAAATCCCTGCAGTGATGGGGAACAAAGCTCGGCCATGAGGGGGCAGCGCTGCCCCACATACAGCCTAGGAGCTAAGGTATGGTACCCTCCCATTTCCAGAACTTTGACTACAAACTTATTGTTTCAATCAGGTGCTAGAAATCAGAGATACTGCAAAGGTTGATGAAGACAAAATGGCTGCACTGAGAGAGGGGATGTGGGCAGAGTGTCGTGGGCAGGGGCAGTGAAGAGAATTGCGCATCGGGATTTATGGTGGTTAAAGGCAGGGAGGAATACAGGCTAAAACGTTGGGAATAACTGACAGGCCGCTGATGTGCTCTCAGGACCAGGGTCTGTGCAACACTGCCAATTGCGGACCGAGAATGGACCCGAGGTTTTGAAGTGCTAAGAGGTGGGAGAGGAACACCATGTGATTCGTGTGGTCGATGAATGGGGTCATGGGCCAACCCACTTCATTAGACGCCCCCCCAAACCAAGCTCAGCTTTGGGTTTGGTATGGTCCGAGCTATTGTACAAAGTGGGCTAACTGACTGCGTGGGGGGCGGGTGGGAGACGCACCGGGTCGTGTTCCAGTTTCTGCTGCTCTCCTCTCCTCTGTCCCGCTCCAGGGGAGCGTCCCTGGGGCTTGCCGGACGGGAGATGGAGAGCTCAGGGCCCTGGGCCCGGTTCGCCGGGACTGCCTGCATCTTCATCTGTTCCCGTTACCAAAATTGGGTCCTGTCGAGGTGGGGAGCTCAAAATGCACAGCATACCACTGATTCCTATTCAATGACTACTACTCGCTTGTGACTGTCTTCGTTTTCAGTTCTCCTTAGGATATTAAAAAAAGTAGCCCAGAAAATGACTGCGATATTTCTTACGCAATCTGGGAATTTTTCCGCTAAATCCGTTAGAGAACGAGCTGGGGCTCTCTGACCATGGTACTGTCATTGGAGTCAGAAAAAAGATGGTGACCCAGCCCCCAAGGACTTTAACCAATCAGCTTTCACATAGGATAATGGCACTCCCTTTTGCCTAGTTGAACCTGCAGCCGGAGCTGTCGCGAAAGATTAGTCAGATTGGGCTAATCTGCTTTCACACTTGGGTAAATGTGGTGTTGGATTTGCTGTATCGACCTAAAAAAATTGGGCTTTTTTTGGGTCAGTCCAGCCTGGTGATGGTGCAGACTTGGGGGGGTGGGGGGGCTCTCCCCTGGGAGCTGGAGTTTTAGTTGAGGCCGTTCCTGGTTGGTGGCAATGAGGGCAGTGAATATCTCCCCACTCCCTCCATGAATGTCTCATCTCCAGGATAGCAGCATCATGTCTCTCCTCTCTCAGCAAAAAAAAAAATCATGCCTTATAACTGTCTCTCTTGGGATGGTGCTGGATCGAATCGCCTGTGTGGGCTGCCCTGAGATTCTGAAACCATTAGCAACCATCTGTAGCTGGACAGATAAACCAAAGATATGCTGCTTCAATCATTTGCATCAAGACAATTTTGACTTGCAAGTGCCTTTCCTGAATTTATGTGAGTGACCCACCTTATTTCTTTACCCACCTGTTCCTTTACACATCTACCCTTGCTTGTACAGGTTGGGAGGTGCACCTGGAATGAAGAGATTGATTACTGAAAAAAGGAGACAAGGTGGAGCTGGGCTGGGGGAGACGGAGGAGAACAAGACCCAGCCTGCCAGATGATGATGAGGAACCTTGCCAGCACCTCATCCTCATCCACCTCCCTGAAGACAAAGACCTGAACAGCTTCAGGACGCCCCCCCCTCCCCAACTCTGCTTGCATTTTTTTGCATCCCACTCATGCTTGGCAGGTATCTGGGTGTTTGTGAAGACGCTTGTCCAAAATGACTTGGAAAACATGGACGCTTTTCAAAATTCTGTGTTGCAAACAAAGTGATAGGTACACGTGGTAGAGAATTGGCGTGTAAATGAAGGTGGTCTACGGAGGGGAGAGGCAGATGGGAGCGTGTGGTCAGGGAAGCAGGGTGGAGAGAGTTGCAAAAGACGATTTCCCTCCTCATCATGTGACACAGACACACCCAAGCTGGGCAGAGGGGGAGCAAACACTGAAAATCAGGCTGTAGCACAGAAACCTTTCTGTCAGTTTATACAGTACAAATCACTGTCACCGCAGGGAGTTCTATGTGTCAGTGGACTGTTGGCATCTCCACAGCGAGAAACTCAAACGGTACCTGCTGGCTATAGTGACCGAGGAGCTTATCGAGTTTGTGTCAGGGCGACTTCGAAGGGGTGGATCTTGGATCCCAGGTTCGACAGCGCAGAGAGAGAGAGAGAGAGAGAGGGGAGTTTGCAGAGGCGGCCGTTGCCAGCTCACGCGGCAGAGCCGTGCGCCGTCAGGATGCCCCGACGCCAAGATGCGAAGAGCAGCAGCGTCAGGGGAAAGTGGAGAGGCGAGCTGGTGTTACCATGCCGACGGGTTTTTAAAGAAGCTGACGGGGGCTGTTTGTTTAACCCCTGCTTGACTGTGGTGGGGAGGGATGGGAGGGTGGAGCGGTGTCCACAGGAATGGTGAGGCCAACTTTCGTGCTTGTGAAAGGCTGTTGGGGCTCCGTCTCCTGAGGCCTGGCTTGAGGAGATGCTGGTTGACTTCACTGTTGGTGCATGAGGGAATGTCTGTCCCACACGGGTGTGACAAGCGCTCCCCTTAAAGGGGTCCGAAGGCTGCCTGTCCAGGAGGCTCACCTGCGTCTCATTTGTTCCTGGACTAGGATTGATTAACCCTTTGTTTATTAACGCTTGGTGATGTGAAATCTAACATGTTGAGCTTTCTGCTAGTATCATGTGTCACTGGAATACTAACATTGCACACTAACGTACAGCTGTGATGTCCTTTGTCACCAAAGCCCGCTGAAAATGCTTCTCCACTGGCTGTTTCAGTGTCTAAACCCCTAACAAGGCTGTCATGATTCTCTGTCTTTCCACGCACTAATGCCTCTCCATTCTATCTGGTAGATAATCTCAGTGCGTTGACTGGCTGTTTAATCTCGTTCCGTCTCGGATCCTTCCTCTCAGCTTCCTGTCTTGTGGTATGGGCTGCATGCAAGAACTCCTCCCGTTGCCCTGGAAACATCAGCCGCGGGGGGGGGTTATTAACTACACTAATGGATACTAACTAAGATTAACCGGCTGAGACAAAACCTGGCAAGCACAGACTTCCCGTGCTGTTTATAACATCGCTGCTCTTTTCAGCGTGTGTGTGTGTGTGTGTGTGTGTGTGTGCGCTTACTCCTCTTCTCTCCTCTGTCTGTGCAAGCATAACGAGACATCAGCCTGTCTGTCTGTCTGTGTACAACCGGCACTTTTAAGCTGACGTGATCGTCTGTGTGTGTACACGTCTGTATCCGAGTCACACTTTCGCCATTTTCCTGTCACAGAATTGTCTTTAGGTGTAACATGCTCCATTGTGTATAAATTCCTTAAAACACACTAACCACAGTTCCCTTGGTATCAGTGAGTGATGAATTAACTGACTAACACCTTTACTAACTGCGCTAACGTTCGGCGGTTACACCCCAGCGAGGCAGTGGTTTGTGTGCTGTGTGGGCAACGAGAACACCCGCTGCCGTATGTATTTGGCAAGGTGTTTGTCCAAATTGACTTACAAAATATGGTCACCTTTCAAAAATTGGGGCTGCAAGCAAAAATGTTTCTCGAGTCTTCTTCCTTAGCCAGTATGCCCCCTGCTGTCAGAAAGTGATTTAGGTTACACTTCTGCTCTAGAACACCCTCTTCTGAAGGTACTTCCTGAAGGACGGTCCTGACTCGCACAGTCCTGCAAGGTCACCGCCTGCTCGACAACAGAAGGGAGTGATGGTGAACTCAGATTAAATCCGAGCTCTGCGTCTTTCCGTTTCGCCCCGTTGGTCACATCCTGGTCTCGCTGGGGTTGGCTTCGGGTCAGCCGCTGTGCTTTCAGGACCCTCTTCCCAGTGGAAGGGCAAGTCACACGGGAAATGTGCAGTCTGCACCCTCTGTAATGAATATTCAAAGGGTGCTTCTAAATTAGCGGAGTGGAATTTGCATTAATTAAGGGCGGAATGTGCAGGAGGGATGTTGACGGTTGCAGCTGCCACCTCCTTGCTGTGAAAATATGACCTTCCGATGGAAAAAAGGGAGAGGAGAACCTACTTTCTGCATGCTCCTGTTGTCTGGCACCTGGATTGCAGAGTATTAACACCAAGGGCATATGCCATCATCCTTTTAACCTGACGACAGTGCAACTGAAGTGAATTAGTGCTCATGCTGCTGTACTAACCAGTGGTGCTGATTGAACTAACATCCTAGAACTCAATAACCAAGGCTTGATTGCTCGGGATGGGACAAAAAGATGCAGTCCTCTTACTAACCCACTCTAAACCCTGACTAACACGCCTCACCTGTGTTTCTGTGCAGTTGTGTTTGAAGTCAGAAAATGTATGAGCATGGCTGTATTTCAAACCCCTTTCATTTAGCACCTGTCATGAATCCACAACTACTAACCTGAGGAAATTACTAACCAGAGAACGGTACCGAACCGTGTGAGTGATACTAACCCAGGCCGTGAGAAGGCTGTGCTAACATTATCTGGCTGGACGGTACAATGCTAACACTAATGCTAATGCTAATGCTAACACGTGCCTTGCTCTGAAAAGTAAGCGGCCAAATCATTCCTGTGTCTGATATGAAGTGATAAAGGAATAAAAGGAGAGAACAAAGGGGGAGGCTTCCAGGCCGGTTTCTACTGCTCCTTCTTTGGAGAGATTTAATTTGCATGGTGGAGAAGGAGATTATGTGAGAAACACAAGAAGAAATGCACATCTCCCTGGGGAAAAGTTAAAAAGCGAGTAAAGCCTCTCTGTGGTATAAGCTGGATGACACCATAGAGTACTTTGTTATGACATCATACAGTGCTTTGTTGTGACATCATAGAGTGCTTTGTTATGATGTCACAGAGAGTGTCGGAGCTAAATATGAACAAGCTCTAAAGCACTGCTTATGAGGCCTCATTTCTCAGTCTGTGTCATACCTACAGCTCCTCTAGATTCCCACCGTTTTTGTTCCCCCCACCTGTAGCAATTATCCTACCATCTAGGACTGGTTTAAACACTGGTTTAAAATCTGCGAGAGCTGAACCTGAAACATCAGCACATCCCCTGAGGAGGTACTACCAATAAACGACTCCTCAACATTGTGCCCTTGATGGATGTAGTTGCTTTGAGTGCCTCCTGGTGGAGGAATGATGCAGCTGTTGGAAGGCCTCACAACAAGTAGTCATGCTCGGTTCTTTGTAACTCTATGTGGGGACAGCTTCACAAGATTCTCATCTCAGCTTAAGAGCACTGATATACCTATAAATAAGGTATATTTTTTTTACTAAGGTAAAAATAATTCTAAATTTGAAGAGACAGGTGGACACATTATTCTGTTAGAGATTTGTGCACATTTTTATTGAACATGCTCCACCGATTCCCAGTCCAATTACCCTCCTGCCTGTATGAAATGTATGAGATTAAACAATCTGCAGCCACAATTGTCTAAAGTGCCATGTTTTTTCTTGCACGCAAGCCATTTTTGCCAGTCTTATCTGATCTCGTGGGTGATATCCTCAGATTTTAATGTTGCCGTTTCCATATGGAACTGAGCCGGGGGATTTAAGCGAATCCCCAGGAAGTGCCGCTGCTGCCAAAGCAAACAGAAGGAGCATTTTCTCTGCAGTGATCAGGTCGCACGCATCGCAGCTGCAGGCAGAGATGCTGAGGTGTGTCAGGAACATCTCAGAGCATCTCAGCGTCACAAGGCCAGTTCCAGTAAACAGACCAATAAGCCCCAGTTCATGACAGGATTTTCTCCCAGCAGGCAGCTTTTACACAAAGGAAGGCACCTCTTGATTTCAGCTCTCTTTTAAATGCTCTCCACTGTCATACCCACGTATATGTTCTTAGATATCTGTACAGTGCTGATTTATGTTGTTTGATTGTGAATAAAACTTTGTTTCAGCAGGATTCTATTCCTTCTTCATTACACATCACTTTGGGCCATAACATTAAAATTAAATGTATTAACCACGACCCCGAGATTCAGTTCAGTTGATTGTTAAATCACGTGATTTTTTTCACAAGTGCAAAATTCATTCAGTGGGTAATGTGGAAACGAAACAGCGTGCGCACTACAGCTATTTCGCAATGCAGAGTGGTAAAATAATTCATAAAAACATTTACTCATCATGAATAATGAGATGAGTGTCTTACTTCGTTACGTGTGGAGATTTCACTCTTTTCCATCTAATTTTTTGGGCTCTATTATTTCCCCCTAGTGGATATATTTTGAAAATACAAAAAGAATATTAAAAACTTGATCGAATATTATTCATTCATTTCTGAAAATTAATTTGGTCAGATGGGACATTTTTGTTTCTCACTTAATTGCATTCTATGGCGCTCAGAAAGCGTCAAAGGAAACAATGATTGGCTTTTAATCTGGATTTCAGATATCAGTTTTAATAACTTGAGCCTGCCACTCAACCGGCTTTCTGAGAGGCAACAATGAGACACAAATTGGGAGACACAAGTTCATTACAATACAGGCTAATCGCGCATTTATGAAGCTTTTAACAACAGAATAGCGTGGAGTATTCGAGACCGTAGGATTACGGCCCTCTTTTCTTTCTACAACAATGCCAATAGCCAGCAGGTGGCAGAAATTGTCTGGCTACGCTTAACTTTCCAGTGTTTTCTGCCACTCGATGAAACTAAAAAACCGTTTCCTCGGGGAAACCTATGAATAGAGGGAGATCTTCCCGAGTTGCTGCATTTAATGTAACACAATCATTAAGTCACAGCTTCTGAACCATGTGCTACACCACTGCGCTACGTTACAAGGCCTGTCTTACCAAAAGCACTATTGTGTTGTTCCACAGTATAAGCGATTGGACGACAGACTACTTGAATGGCACTATTTAGGAGCCAGGCACCTTAAGTTAGTATTTAGTGTTTTTACTAATTATGCTATCTGTCATGGAGCTCTATAGCAGCCCAAAGAACCGCTTAGTAGATTTTTTTTTCCATTTGGCACATTGGTAGAGGACAGTCAACAGTATTCATATACCAGATTTGGGGTCAATTCATCCATCCCTGGAGTGCAACGATCAGGTCCAATTTCAAGGTATGTTTTTGCTTATAACTTTTGAGCCCTTTGTCCTACAGTTGTGATCCCGTTAATGTCCGCATATTGAATTTTTTGCCATTTTGAATTTTTCAAAAAAACCTACTTTTGCTAACTTGTTCTAGGGTGTTGATCATATCACCATCAAATTTGGTATGTGTCATCTACATAGGGTTGGGACCAAAAGCTGTTCAAGCCATCATATTAAGGCAAACCATTTGGCTGCTGTCATCCAATGAATTTCATGGCAAAGCCACCAAACTGGATGTGAGGTTATATCTCAACAAAGCTTTAATATGTCTAAACCAAATTTGGGAGATGGACTCGAGATCCCATTCTGAGGAAGCCCAACAAAAATGGTTGCATTCCACCACTTGGAAGCGCTGCAGTAAGTAAAAATGTGTGTTATAAATAACTGTTGTTGCGTTTACCTTCGGTCACGTAATACCGTGGGAGGTCCCATGGCCAGCAAATGGTAAACTGTCATGTCACCGTGATGGAAGTGGACACCATATTGGATTTTACTGAAAGGTGTAATATTTTGCATAGGCCACAGATTTTGTCCAATCTTCACCAAATTTAGCAGACAAAGCCTCACAAAATATATTTGAGAAATTTTAGACTTTCAGAACCATTCATCCGTTACCCCCCAATGAAACAGGCAGCAAAACTGCCTCTCAGGATGTTTGACCGGATCTCAGCAGTGCTTCCCTGTTTTTCTTGGTATTTTGACTCAAGGCGACACCCTCAAGATGTGCACCATTTATTTTGTCATTTGAACACTAGGCGGTGTTGCAAAAAGCAAAAATGTGTTTTTCCGAATACATTTTGATTAATTGACCATATGATAGAGATGGTGATGTCTGGTAAATGTCAGGAACTGACTCTGCCAATCCTGACATAAACCTCTTTTTCCAGCAAATGTCCCAGCCCATCTGTGTGCTCCTAATGATTCCCAGCTTAGTGCCTCATTTACTCACACCTGTGTCCCATCTGAAGCTCGATACCTGTGTATGTATGTGCTTGCCCGTGCCCAGTTACCCAGTCGGTCATTGTTAGTGCTGGGTGTTCATTCCCACTTCTCGCTCCCCAACATATCTTGTCTTCTGTTGACCCTCATGCCTTCTCTGCCAGGCCATTTCCGATTCTCTTGAAGTCCACGCTCCCATTAAGCACAGGGCTGTCCCCTTCTCCCATTCCTTTTATTGGTTTACTTCACAGCTTCCAGCCCAGAAGGCAACTGGCCCTCACCTAGAATGGCTTGTAATAAAACAGACCTTGCTGTAAATTCCCCAGCTTACAGCGAGCATAAACTGAAATACTGATTCTGATCTAGATGATGGTCACACCTACTATTATTCATCCGTCAACAATAGTTCCAATTGTGGGCCCAGAACCCTTTTGTCTACTATATACAGGCTTGTAAATGTTCCTGTATTAACACCACCTGCCACTCTGCAGTAATGTTACACTTGTATTAACTTCTTCCAAAGTAAATTGGCTCCCTTTATAAGACTTCTCCTAACCTTACCCCTACTCCCGCACAATGCTTCCCTCCCTGAATATTCCATTCTTCCATTTTCTGATTTCTGCTTTACTACTGCATCCTGTGTCATGGAGTTAATTAAGGCATCCAATTGTCCCTTCTGTCAGATTTGGCTCCTACATGCAAAAAAATGCTGTCTGCCTAATTTCCCTGCCTCTCAACTCACTTGATAAACAGATCTGTAGTTTCAGACATAGCTCCAACAGATTGAAAAACTGTTATAGATAACCCAGTTCTCAAGAAACATGGTCTGGACCAATTAATCTAAACAAGTATTGGCTGTAGCCTCTCTCTAACCTGCCATTCTCCTCCAAAATACCCAGTTGCAGTCTGATTTAGTGTTAAACAACCTTTACAAACCTTTCCAATCCAGTTTCCATTCACTTAACGGCACGGGCGTAACACTGGTTTGAACATTGGTGGGGGGCGGGGGGGATTGGTGGTTTGAGGACAAAATGACACTTCTTGAACCATGTGCTGCATTTTTCGAACCCACTAGATGGAGGTCTCAGATCAGAGATGGGCACAAAGCATGTCCCAAAGCAATCCAAGAGCACCATCTAGTGGAGTCAAAAATACAGCGAATGGTTTATAAGGCATCATTTTATCCCTCACCACTCTGTAGGGATCTTAATGACTTCTTCTTGGCAGCTGACACTGAGGCTGTCAGAATTCTTTTTCTTTTGGATATAAGCTCTGCGTCTGACGCCATTTGTCATGCTTCATTTATGGATGTCTTTCATCTATTGGCCATCTATTGGCCTCTCTGATAGACAGCAGTTTATAGGCATTAATAAATACAAATCACACACTGTTTTTGTTATGGATAATATTTAGGTTCTTAAAACTATATGCTGGCAAAACTAGCATGCTAATAATTCACCCTAATGCTCTGTCTGGCATGAATTGTGAAACATCTTTTTACATTGGTGGTATTCTGGTTACTCCCTCTAAATATCTCTGCAACCTTGATGTTCTTTCATATCTCACATTAGCTCACTCACCCAAGTCTGCTCTCTTTCATCTTTGCGAAATTCCCAGGTTTCACCCAATTCTAAACAGCTCAGACGCTGAAACTCTTGTCAATGCCCTAATCTCCTTCACGTTCGATTTCTATATGTCCCTACTTAATGGTCGTCCTGCTAAGACACATTCTAAATTACAACACACACAAAATTATGCAAGTAGAGTTCTCACTGTCAGTAAACTATCTTCACATGTCACTTTTACGGCCATAAATGGTCTTGTTCCCCAGTACATCACAGAGCTCCTCTTCCCTTATACACCTGCCCATTCCCTCCAGTCTGCAGGCACTGGTCTCTTAGCACTGCCTCTCCTTTGTCTGTCTTCTATGGGCAGTTTTTGAGCTCCAACACCTTGGAACATCCACCACAAAGCCTCCAGGACCTATCCTCCATCTCCCTTTTTAGGCACAATTTAAAAACATGTCTTTATAATCAATGATTTACTACCCTTACTTGTTCCTAATCTGTTGCTGTTGCACTTTTTCTTGAATTTCTCCATTCAGTGTAGTAGCTTATGGCATATGATCTATATTCATATATTCATGTGTCTTTTATTTCCTCTTTCTGAATCCCTTTCCACGGCATCTGTGCCCTGGTAGTGTGCTGTTCCCCATTATTGCTGATTGCAGCTATATTTATAATTATGATTTAAAATACTGACACATAAAACGGCTCTTATGTCAATCTACAATGCTGTGGTTGTTAACGGCTTGTAGAGCACTTTTGGGTAGGCCCTATATTATAATAAATTGGATTAATTTGAAACTGCTAGCTGTCCAGCCAGCCGGTGAATGTTCATTGAATGCTACGCACCGAGACATTAAGACATTGACACAGGTTAAAGGTCATCAATTATTCATCCGCCTGGGCTATTTTTCAAGATTGGAGGGCCACCTGGGGCAAGGAGCTGACGGGCTTCATCACAGGGGTCTGGTCTGTGTCAGAATCCTATTAACAGTTAATCAAGCTTAATTAAAACAAAGGCCAGCTGGGCATCGTTTGGGGAAAAAAAAACTCTGCATATTATTTAATAATGTGAGATCAATCACACAGAAAAGTTGTGTAGCAGACGTACAATTTGAGAATGAAACCTTTCTAGCAGCTCCAGTCCGCTACAGCTGACAGTCTGACCCAGGCTTCATGCATTCGGTTTTTACTGGTTTATATGGGAGGAATGGTAACCATAACCAGGAAGTCCTGACAGAGGAAGGTACTTTCTCAGCCCTGCTTACACTCACCTGTCCTCTTGTTTAAGAAATGAGGCAGGGGG